ATTAAAAGAAGTATAAAGCCCAAAAACTTGAACAAAGCTATTCTCAAATATTCAAAACCTAATAATGAAGACTTCAACAACTCTAATATCAATATTACCAGTGAGTGAAGTTGAACTTTCAAAACTTCAAGTCAACTTTGAACAAGTCTAGTGATAAGTGTGTTTTTATGCACTTATATGACTCATAAACATGACTAAATAACGAGCAAGTGTTTGAATTGTGGCTTAAATTCGTCTAATTCTTGGATTCTAGGGAATATTGATGGACATGGTGAAATTCACGAGAAAATAAAGCGAAAAGGACCAAAATGAATTAAAGTGATAGTTTAGGGACCAAAGTACAAATATCCAAAAGTTGAACCCTAGGAGCAATCAAAGATTTGATCGTGCCAAGTACCAATTGGAGGTTAATATTAGTCGATGGAATGAGAAGATGGAAGAAACGAGGCCAAAATGGAAGAGAGGAAAGTTCAAGGACTAAAATGATCATCTTCAAAAAAGGCTTCCATGCGATCACAAGAGATTAACCTATGCGGTCGTGAGCATGGCTACCGAAACTAAAAACCCAAAAATCTTGATACCTATGCGGTCGTATAGGCAAAAATTTGGGACTGACGCTATAGTTTTCTGTTTATGCTAAAACTCTTGAAACTCGATGGGAACGCAATATAAAGGCCTAGGCTCGTTAGAATTAGGGTTAGAACGTGTTGGAGGAAAACAAAACACATCTTGGAGATGAATTTGAGGGAGATTAACAAAAGATTTCACGAAGATTATCAAGATTTCATGCTTATCTATAATTCGATGATGTTTATTCTTCAAGAATTCATGTATTCTTTTATGTTCTCCATGTTAGGCTAGATTTTCTTATACTAGGAGATATATGAACTATGTAATGTGATCTTTGAATTTTTATTTTTTCCATTTGACAATTAAACGCGTATTTGATTATTTGAATGGTTTATATGCATTAATTTATTCCATAATTAAGTGCACGTAATTATGTGATATGTAGTGATTTATTTCTTGCAATCGAGAGAATGAAAATAGATTTGACAATGTATAAATCATCGTAGGGTCCGATAAGGGATAGAAATATACCTATATGCTTTGCGCAAATCGTTAATTGCTCATAAAACTACATGCATTCTTATGTATATGCATCTGTCATAGAGATATAGGCTGGTGGTATATAAGAATATGTTCGATATTGCTCGAGAGAGCGTGTTGGATAGGTTTAGGAGCATTGATTGGTCAATAATCCAATTGTTTTGTCAGATTATGAAATTAGGGTTTTAAGTGATCATTACATAGGAATTCATGATCCTAGTGCGGTTTAATTTCATTGAGTAAAATCAACTCGCGTTCCAATCATCATATTGCATTTAAATTCATTTAGATACATCTTGTTGCATCTTTAAAACATTCAACAGTCATTTTAGCAAAACTAGGGTTCTCTATAATTAGAGTTTTGATAAATTAGGGTTTTCTTAGGTTAAAACATTAAATTTGATAAATTCGTTTCGGTTAAGGCTAAGGTAGATAAAGTTGAACTACTTGATCTCTGTAGGACGATATTTGGAACTTAATATTCCACTTTATTACTAGTTAACGAACCGTATACTTGTGGTGAATTAAATTGAAAGAAAATATTTCTTGAACAAGTTTTTGGCTTCGTTGTCGGGGATTGAGTATTAGTTTAATTTTATTTACATTGGCACTAATTTGAACATAAATTTTTGTTATTTGATTTCATTTTGATTTATTTTGTTAATTGTTTTATTTTAGCATCTAAGCACTCCTATTGATTATTCTCGCAAATTTGCATGTTAAGGTCTACTGAAGGAGACTTGATACTAGCTGATCCAGAAATCGAACGAACTCTACATCGAAGGCAGTGATAGAATAGAAAGGCACAACAACAAATGGTTAACGAACAGAACGGTCCAATTTTTCAGGCTAATGAAGAAGGGGCAACGGATGAGGGAAATATGCTTGTAGGAGATTTCATGACCCCTCAAATAATCCAAAGGCTATTCTCAAATATTCAAAGCCTAATAATGAAGACTTCAACAACTCTAATATCAATATTACCAGTGAGTGAAGTTGAACTTTCAAAACTTCAAGTCAACTTTGAACAAGTCTAGTGATAAGTGTGTTTTTATGCACTTATATGACTCATAAACATGACTAAATAACGAGCAAGTGTTTGAATTGTGGCTTAAATTCGTCTAATTCTTGGATTCTAGGGAATATTGATGGACATGGTGAAATTCACGAGAAAATAAAGCGAAAAGGACCAAAATGAATTAAAGTGATAGTTTAGGGACCAAAGTACAAATATCCAAAAGTTGAACCCTAGGAGCAATCAAAGATTTGATCGTGCCAAGTACCAATTGGAGGTTAATATTAGTCGATGGAATGAGAAGATGGAAGAAACGAGGCCAAAATGGAAGAGAGGAAAGTTCAAGGACTAAAATGATCATCTTCAAAAAAGGCTTCCATGCGATCACAAGAGATTAACCTATGCGGTCGTGAGCATGGCTACCGAAACTAAAAACCCAAAAATCTTGATACCTATGCGGTCGTATAGGCAAAAATTTGGGACTGACGCTATAGTTTTCTGTTTATGCTAAAACTCTTGAAACTCGATGGGAACGCAATATAAAGGCCTAGGCTCGTTAGAATTAGGGTTAGAACGTGTTGGAGGAAAACAAAACACATCTTGGAGATGAATTTGAGGGAGATTAACAAAAGATTTCACGAAGATTATCAAGATTTCATGCTTATCTATAATTCGATGATGTTTATTCTTCAAGAATTCATGTATTCTTTTATGTTCTCCATGTTAGGCTAGATTTTCTTATACTAGGAGATATATGAACTATGTAATGTGATCTTTGAATTTTTATTTTTTCCATTTGACAATTAAACGCGTATTTGATTATTTGAATGGTTTATATGCATTAATTTATTCCATAATTAAGTGCACGTAATTATGTGATATGTAGTGATTTATTTCTTGCAATCGAGAGAATGAAAATAGATTTGACAATGTATAAATCATCGTAGGGTCCGATAAGGGATAGAAATATACCTATATGCTTTGCGCAAATCGTTAATTGCTCATAAAACTACATGCATTCTTATGTATATGCATCTGTCATAGAGATATAGGCTGGTGGTATATAAGAATATGTTCGATATTGCTCGAGAGAGCGTGTTGGATAGGTTTAGGAGCATTGATTGGTCAATAATCCAATTGTTTTGTCAGATTATGAAATTAGGGTTTTAAGTGATCATTACATAGGAATTCATGATCCTAGTGCGGTTTAATTTCATTGAGTAAAATCAACTCGCGTTCCAATCATCATATTGCATTTAAATTCATTTAGATACATCTTGTTGCATCTTTAAAACATTCAACAGTCATTTTAGCAAAACTAGGGTTCTCTATAATTAGAGTTTTGATAAATTAGGGTTTTCTTAGGTTAAAACATTAAATTTGATAAATTCGTTTCGGTTAAGGCTAAGGTAGATAAAGTTGAACTACTTGATCTCTGTAGGACGATATTTGGAACTTAATATTCCACTTTATTACTAGTTAACGAACCGTATACTTGTGGTGAATTAAATTGAAAGAAAATATTTCTTGAACAAGTTTTTGGCTTCGTTGTCGGGGATTGAGTATTAGTTTAATTTTATTTACATTGGCACTAATTTGAACATAAATTTTTGTTATTTGATTTCATTTTGATTTATTTTGTTAATTGTTTTATTTTAGCATCTAAGCACTCCTATTGATTATTCTCGCAAATTTGCATGTTAAGGTCTACTGAAGGAGACTTGATACTAGCTGATCCAGAAATCGAACGAACTCTACATCGAAGGCAGTGATAGAATAGAAAGGCACAACAACAAATGGTTAACGAACAGAACGGTCCAATTTTTCAGGCTAATGAAGAAGGGGCAACGGATGAGGGAAATATGCTTGTAGGAGATTTCATGACCCCTCAAATAATCCAAAGCCAGTCAAGTATCGTATATCCACCGTTTGGTAGCCTAACTTCCAATTGAAGACCAATGTGATACAACTATTTCAAAATGGGCATCAATTCTATGGAAGAACCGAAGAGAATCCACATACGCACATCTCTCATTTTTTGGGATGTGCCAACACTTCAAGTATCAAGGAATCTCAGATGATGTAATCAGATTAAGGTTGTTCCCACATACACCGCACGAGAAGACAATCGAGTGGCTAGATTCACAACCAATCGCAAGCATCACTACATAGAATGATCTAGCTTAGAAATTCTACACCAAGTTCTTCACGTCCACCAAGATTGCAAAGCTCAAGCATGACATATCTGTCTTTCATCAAGGCGACTCCGAGGACTTTGATGAAGCTCAGAATAGGTTTAAGAATATGCTGTGGAAGTGTCCACATCATGGGATTAGCAAGGGACTCCAGGTCCAATACTTTTATGCGGGATTGCTTCTAGCCTTCAAGAGCATGGTCGACTTGTCATCAAATGGATCACTATCCACAAAGATAATTGATGAAGCACCGAAACTTTTTGAGACTATGGCCACTACTTCAGCTTTGTGGACATCGGAATGAGTAGTTCAGAAGAGAACATTGGGAGTTTATGAAGTGGACGTTTATTCTGCCTTGTCTGCCAAAATTGATTCATTATTTCACAAGGTGAAAAATATGTCACAATTAGCTAACGCAGCGCAGTTGAAGAAGGCCAGTCGTGAGGAATGTAGAGCTGAACATGTAACAGCAGAATGTCCAATCTTGGTACAAGAAGTAGAGCATGCAGATTTTGTTCAATGGGGACAGGGCAGCAAAACAACACATTTGGGGAAACATACAATTCGAGTTGGAAAAAGCATCTAAATTTCTCTTAGAGCAATCAAACCCAGAATAGACCATAGGGTCAGTATCAGCAGCCAGAGAAAAGTCTCAACTTTAAGAGATGTTCGGTAAATTTATGGAGAAGACCAACCAGTACATGGAGGCCAATAGTCAATCCAGGAGGAAAACCGACGCCACTCTTCAAGACCAGAATGTAGCCATAAAAAATCTAGAAACTCAAATGGGACAGATGATAGTTTCTTTGACTGGCAGAGCACTAGGTAGTTTGCTAAGTAACACCTAAATAAACCCGTAAGAACATGCTAAGGCAATCACAACTCGAAGTGGAAAGTAGCTACTTGAGATACATGCAAAAAGGCTGGGTGTAAATTGAGAAAAAAATCTCCTATAATTGAAGAGACTATAGAGCATGACGAGCAGATAAAAGAATCTACCCCAACCGAAAAACCGAACAAATCACAGGATAAGGCAACCGTCAACCTTCATGAGCCTCCCATTCCTTTTCCATTGAGGCTAAAGAAGTAAAAGTTGGAGCAACAATACAAGAAATTTCTATAAGTCTTCAAGAAGCACCACATCAATATTCCACTCGTCGATGCACTATTCCAGATGCCTAGCTATGTAAAATTCCTAAAGGACATACTATCAAATAAACGCAAGCTAGGGAATCACAAGATAGTGATGCTAACAAAGGAGTGCAGTGCCAGAATTCAGAAAAGTTCCCACCGAACTTGAAAGATCTAGGGAGTTTTACTATTCCTTGTACTCTTGGCGAAGTTTATTTTGATAAAACTTTATATGATCTTGGTACAAGTATTAATTTAATGCCTCTATCTATTTTCAGGAAACTTGGCTTGGGAGAGGCTAAGGCGACTACAGTGACACTGCAACTAGCTGATCGGTCATCGACACATCCTAGGAGAATAGTAGAGGATGTGCTTGTCAAAGTTGAAAAATTCATATTCCTCACGAATTTCCTAATCTTAGACATGGAAGAGGACAAGGACATCCCATTGATAATTGGCAGACTGTTCTTGGGAACAAGGAGAGCTTTGATCGACGTTTAGAATGGGCAGTTGATTTTGAGATTAGGAGAAGAGCAGATCTCGTTTAATGTCTTCAACGCAATCAAACTACCTATAGAGTCAGACAGTTGCTTTCAGGTCGACGTGATTGATAAGATAGTTCAAGACTCATTTTTGCTACACAATCTATCAGATGCCTATGAAGCTTGCATTGCACACTCTCAGTCAACGCAATCCGTTTCGATGGAGATAGAAACATGTGCAAGGTTTTTGGATACTAACCCACCATATACATGCAGAAGGTATTTTGAAGAGCTTGGGATAGGACCCACGAAACCATTACCATCCATTCAGCAGCCACCGAAATTAGAACTCAAGCAACTATCACACATAAGATATTCATACTTGGGGGAGTCTTGTACACTCCCGGTTATCATCTCAAACATAGTCAGTGAAGTGGAAGAGGAAAAACTGCTTAGGGTACTAAGGGAAAATAAAACAGCAATTGGATGAACTATAGCAGATATAAAAAGGATTAGCCCTTCACTATGCATGCATAAGATTCTCGTGGAGGAGAATTTTCGGCCAACCATAGAGAGTGAAAGGAGGTTGAACCCAAATATGAAGGAAGTAGTCAGAGCAGAGGTCCTTAAACTTCTAGATGCTGGAATAATATATCCGATATTAGACAATGCATGGACTAGCCCCGTTTCGGTGGTACCAAAGAAAGGTCGTGTAACGCCCCGACCCCTAGTGGACCAGAACGCTACTTACTTTACTTAGCTTAACCGGTGGTTGAGTAACAAGCGTATATGTTTTAGCGGAAGCTTACATCTTCGGATAATAATTTAAATAACAATACTTCGAATACTTTAAACAAAAACACTGAATCATTTTTCAAAACAACAAAATGTAATTTATTTGAAGAAAACATAACTTGTTCTCGCATTCTGCATTATTCAAAACTTTAAAGAAATAACGTTGGAAAACATTTCATAAAAATAAATCCAAATCACTTATTCATCAGATTTTCATGGGCTCGTTGCATCACTCTCCATCTTCTCCTCCATCCATGCCCGAGGTTGAATCCTTCAATCTGTAGAGATGTGATTAAACCCGTGAGTTGAAAAACTTAATAGGCGTCATAGGTGCATTCGTGATCAAGCTATACATTTCAAAACATTAACTTTATAACTTTTCATACATGTCGTACCCGGAGGCACCATTTGACATGAAGGGGTATGCCGTACTCGAGGGCACCATTTGACATACGAACATTTCTTCAACATAGAGGGGTATGCCGTACCGGAGTACCATTTGACATACAACCATTAACATAGAGGGATATGCCGTACCAGAGTATCATCTGACATACAAACATTAACATGAATCGAAACTTATAACTTAACACGATTAAACACATTGCACCTCTACCTACCTTGATTGAGGCTTTTGAAACTTTGAAAACTTGGATTGAAAACTTCGATGAAACTTGGACGTTGAAAGAAATGCACTCCTTGGATGTTTGAAAATCGTTGAGAATTGATGCTTGAAAACACTTCTTAAACTTCTAGGAAAAATAATTTTCCTCCCTCTCTTTTTCTCTCTTGGAAACTCTTTCTTTAGTATGTAAAAGCTCTTGCTTTTGGTGTAAGATAAAATGAGTGAAATGAAGTCTCTATTTATAGGTAAATATTTCATAACTTAAAGCAAATGAAGGGTCAAATTTCATTTAAGAGAGAAAACATGGGTGTCATTTACGTTTGAGGTTAAATGCTTCAATTTGGTGGGGGGTTTTTATTGCCAAAAACGTGGGTGGCCCTTTGAGGAAATAATTGATGAAAATAAATATTTAAATTCTAGAGAAAAATGAGAATTTTCATTTCAGGCAGTTTCGATCGACCGGTTGTAGTCCGGTTGACACTGCACAGCTTTCAGTGTTTCTATCATAACTTCTTCTCCCGATATCCGATTTAGATAATTCAAAGTGTATTGGAAAGCTAACTCAAAGAGATACAAATTTTATTTAGATATCATTTTCGATTCCTATGTCGAAAATGGGTCTCAAATGAGACTAAAAATCTGAAGTATACTTTAGTCATCCAATATTCATGTCTTAGTGCCACTAAGGTGTCTAGAATTATTTGGGGTTCTACATCCCCCACACCTTAATTAAAATTTCATCCTCGAAATTTACCTTCTGATTGGGTGAATAGTGTTGGATACTTGTCTTTGGCTTCTTCTTCTTTTTCCCAAGTGGCTTCTTCTATGTCGTGATGATTCCACTGTATCTTAACCAGCTGAATCTCTTTATTCCTTAGTTTATGCACTTTTCGATCCAATATCTTGATCGATGGTTCCTCGTACGACAAATCTTTCTGCACCTCCAAGGTTTGATAACTCACTACATGATTAGGATTATGTACATACTTCTTTATCATCGATATATGGAACACATTGTGCACTGCCGATAATTCAGGTGGCAAAGCTAGTCAGTAAGCCACATTTCCGACTCTATCAAGTATCTCGAGAGGTCCAATATACCGGGGTCGTAGCTTGCCTTTCTTTCCAAATGTAAGTACACCTTTCATCGGTGCTACTTTCAGAAACACTTTATACCCAACTTGGAATTCTAAATCCTTCCTCCTTGTATCTGCATAGTTCTTTTGTCAATCCTGTGCTGCCTTTATTCTTGCACGGATCTTATTGATTACCTCGACCGTCCTTTCAACCACTTCTGGTCCCAAAACTCTCTTCTCTCCGACTTCATCCCAATAAACAGGGGATCTACATCTTCTACCATAGAGAGCTTCGTATGGTGCCATTCCAATAGTTGCTTGGAAATTGTTATTATAAGCGAACTCTGCTAGATGTAAGTATGACTCCCAATTACCTCCTAGATCTAAAACACATGTTCTCAGCATGTCTTCCAAAGTTTGGATGGTCCTTTCAGACTGACCATCAGACTGACGGTGATATGCTGTACTAAAGTTCAGCTTCGTTCCCATAGCTCCTTGTATACTTTTCCAAAATTTGGAGGTGAACCTTGGGTCTCTGTCAGACACAATGGATACAAGTACACCGTGTAATCTCACAACCTCTTTAATGTACAACTGTGCCAATTGGTCTAAACTGAATGTCATTTTCACTGGAAGAAAATGAGCTGACTTCGTTAGTCGATCCACTACTACCCATATAGCATTATTTCCTCTTGCTGACTTCGGGAATCCAACCACAAAGTCCATCGTGATATTTTCCCATTTTCATTCAGGTATATCTAGTGGATTTAACAATCCAGCTGGTTTTTGGTGTTTTACCTTAACCTGTTGACATACCATGCATTTCTGCACGTACAACCCTATACTTCTTTTCATATTTCTCCACCAAAATGTATCTCGAAGATCTCGATACATTTTCGTACCACCGGGATGTGCGGTGTACGGGGTGGAATGAGCTTCTTTCAATATCTCATTTCTCAAGGTTTCATCATTAGGCACGTAAATTCTTCCTCCAAATATCAGTGCCTGATCCTCAGTTACTCCAAAGTCCTTTTTCTTATCGGTACCAACTTCATTCTTAATCTCCTGCAAAAATGAGTCTTTATTTTGTGCTTCTATAATTCGATCTCTAAGAGTAGGTCGAATTATTAAAGCTATTAGACGAGCAGTGACTTGTCCTGGTGTGGTAACCACTTCGATCTGCAACTTTTTCAAGTCCTTGACTAACTCCACTTGAGAGGTGGGTAGTGACGTCAATTGTCCCATTGATTTTCTACTTAGAGCGTCGGCCACAACATTAGCCTTACCCGGATGGTAGTGAATAGTGCAATCGTAATCGTTCACCAATTCCAACCATCGTCTCTATCGCATATTCAATTCCTTCCGTGTAAAGAAATACTTGAGACTTTTGAATTCTGTGTAGATATCACACTTCCATCCATACAAGTAGTGTCGCCGTATCTTCAAAGCGTGTACTACCGCTGCAAGTTCTAAATCATGCGTCGGGTAGTTCTGCTCATGTTTCTTCAATTGTCTTGAAGCACATGCTATCACTTTTCCATTCTGCATTAGTACACATCCCAATCCTCGCTTGGATGTGTCGCTGTATATAACAAACCCTTCCGTACCTTCAGGTATTGTTAATACAGGTGCTGATATCAACTTCTGCTTAAGTTCTTGGAAACTTCGTTCACATTTTTCTGTCCATTGGAATTTTACTCCCTTCCTTGTAAGCTACATCATTGGTCCAGCTATTTTGGAGAATCCTTCTATGAGTCTCCTATAATATCCAGCCAATCCTTGAAAACTCCGTACTTTGCCAGCATTTGTTGGTGCTTTCCAGTTGGTTACTGCTTCTACTTTTGCTGGATCTACTTCAATCCCTTGGGCAGTAACTACATGTCCAAGAAATCCAACTCGTTCAAGCCAAAACTCGCACTTCTTGAATTTGGCATACAACTTCTCCTTGCGTAATACCTCTAAGGCTATTCTCAAGTGCTCTTCACATTGCTCCTTACTCTTGGAATATATCAGAATGTCATCGATGAAGACTATGACAAACTTATCCAAGTATTGATGAAACACTCGATTCATCAGGTCCATGAGCACTGCAGGTGCATTGGTTAGCCCAAACGGCATCACCGTAAATTCGTAGTGTCTATATCGAGTTGTAAAAGTTGTCTTAGGTATATCTTTTGACTCTACTTTCAGTTGATGGTATCCCGATCGTAAGTCGATCTTGGAAAATACCTTAGCTCCTTTCAGTTGATCTAACAGATTCTCGATCCTCGGGAGTGGGTACTTATTCTTGATGGGTTAATCGATTTATCTCCCTATAATCGATGCATATCCTCATGCTTCCATCTTTCTTCTTTACAAACAACACCGGCGCATCCCATGGAGATACGCTTGGTCGTATGAAGCCCATATCTAGGAGTTCTTGCAACTGCTTCTTTAATTCTTATAGTTCCTTTGGGGCCATTCGGTATTGGGCCTTAGATACTGGTGCCGCCCTGAGAATTAGGTCTATGGTGAATTCCACTT